AAGGGTGTCAGATGCCAAGAGCAAAGGGTGACACAGGTACTGGAGCTGGAACCGGATCTTGGGCAAGAACACAGAGCCCCATCCTGGAAAGAAGGCAGGACAGAAACAAGGAAGTATCTGTAGAATAATAATAACTAACACAGTACTTACTGAACCTTTTTTATTAACTATGCAGTAGACACTGTTTTAAGAATTCTAATTAATTTACTCATTTAAACTTCACAAAAATGAAAAAGTTTATTATTATTATCCTCATTCTATAGATGAGGAAACTGAGGCACTGAGAAGTAATGTGTCAGAGGTCATACATAAATTAAATGGCAGAGTCAGGATTTGAACCTTGAATATCTACTGTATGCCAGGATTTTTACACATACATATTTGGCATGTAAATAAGTGTTATACACACACACAAACACACACACAATAAAGACATTTCTGGGGGAAAAAAATGCAATATGCTTCTTATTCTCTTTTCTGGGCCATGACCTTTACTCAACTAAAGGTATACCCTAACTCAAGAAGAATTATGGTAGTTAAAGAAAAAAGTGGTCATTTATTGTCATCAGCTTCAATCCTCAAAACTGAACTTTTATGTGTGTGTATGTTTCTAATAAGACTTTTTTTTTTCCTTTTAGACTGAATTGTATTGCCCCAAATTCAAGTCCCAAAGCCCAGAACATCAGAATGTAACCATACTGGAGATAAGATCTTTAAAGAGGTAATTAAATTAAAATTAGTGTTGAACCCTTAGACCACTGTCTAAAAGGAAGAGACACCAGGTTTGTAAATGCACAGATGGAGCACTCTGTAAGGATAAAGGAGCAAGAAGACAGCCATTTACAAGTCAAGGAGATCAGGCCTCAGAGGAAACCAACTCTGCTAGTACCTAGATCTTAGATTTCCAGCCTCCACAACTGTGAGAAAATAAAGTTCTGTTGTTTAAGCCACCTAGTCTGTGGTATTTTGTTATGGCAGCTCTAGCAAACTTCTATACCTTTCCATGCTGAAAYGCTTTACAGGGAAGGCAAATAAAAAAATTTGAAGGAATCCAGATAAATGGATCTTGTTTCTCACTTTCCTGGACAATAATAGGAACAATTTTAATCTCCTTTATTCTGCGTTTAGTAGTCTAGATAACAGATTGAAAATATCAGTATGACATAATAAATCTGGAAGAAGCCAATATTATCTTTCTGCTTCCAATGGAACAGGGATTCTTAGATTTCCAAAGACAGCCTGACAGTAGCAATGGGCATACCTAGCACCCAGATCTAACACTATTCTCCACTAAAGAGAACTAGAACTCCCTGGAGAAATGCTGGCCTAAGACTGAAGCAGAAAATATACTAGATGAGCCTAAAGAATGTTAAGAGTGCCAAAAAGTAAGGAAGAGGTATATGACAAGGCAACTGGGCATGGCGTATGTGCAAACTCTACTTTCTGGCATATAAAAGTAAGGAAAGGAAATAGGAGCCAACTGAAGGCTTAGCTCCCCAAGTCAGAGCTGGAACAAAATAAAGTAGCACCAGATTATAGTCCAAAGTATAAAATAAATATCCACAAGTCCATAGTGATATAAATAAATGATTAAATAAATTAATTAGTCAAAGAGAAGAGACAAACCTCCAGGGGAAAAGAATTCCAAATAGTTTATGTGGATACCCTGCCCTTCATTACAATTGTAACTCACTATTCACTAATCATTAAGTGTGGCTGGACATATGAATTTCTTCCAAAGTGTAAAGACAAGGAAGGGAGGGAAAAAAACAGTAACTTTACAATGAAGAAGCCTGATAAGCACTATTTCAAGCCAGRTGATAATGGTTAATATCAATTGTGATATAAGTCATTTGAAAGATATAACTTTGATATAACGTGACAAGATTGGTACTTTATGGTCTTTTTTCCAAAAACTATAATTTGAGTCTGATTCTGAGAAAAAAAAGCAGACAAATTCCAATTCAAAGAAATTTTACAAAATCCCTGATCAGAAATCCTCAAAACTGTCAAGATCAATCTGAAAAAGTATCACAATTTAAGCAACTTAAGAAGTTGTGGCTCAGTGGTAGAGAGCTGGCCTAGTATGTGTGAGGCACTGGGTTCAACTCTTTAGCACCACATATAAAAAAGTAAAATAAAGGTCTATTGGTAACTAAAAAAATATTTTTAAAAAAGAAGTCATGAAGATTAAAAGTAATAGTACCCTAAATGGGATCCTAGAACACAAAAAGAACATGAAGAAAATGTGGATAAAGTATGGTCCTAAGTTAGTCACAATATATCAATACTGGTCCATTAATTATAACAACTGTGCCTCCATGAGGCTGGGGTTGTAGCTGGAGCCTAGCACATGTGAGGCACTGGTTTGGATCCTCAGCACCACATATAAATAAATAAAATAAAGGTATTATGTGCACTCACAACTTAAAAAAAAAAAAAGTGCCATCCTAATATAAGATAGTAATAATAAGGGAAACTGGGTGTGGAAAATATGGAAATACTTTGTGCTATCTTCACAATAATTTTATAGATCTAAAACTTTTCTTTAAAAAAATTATATATATATATATATATATATATATATCACACACACACACCCCAAGACTCCAAGACTATCCTTTTTTGGGTAGCTCAGAGCTTCCTTGTTAACTCCAAGTTCACTCACAAGCACTCCAACAAAAATGTCATAGTTAGCTCAAAATGTATAACACTGGCCTATAGTCAAGAGATATAGGTTTGTGCTCCAGCTGCATAGAATATTAGCCAAACACTTAAAAGTAGTTAAAATATCTAGGGCAACATTCCCAATGTTAGTGTGCTTTGCTACATTCTTCTATATTGTGGTAATAGTAGGCCATGAAAATGGCAAGCTGTGCTCAAATAAACTGAKAAAAATTGGGTTAAACAAAATTAAACAGACTTCTTTACCAATGGATTTCACAGAGYCTTTATAGCCAATAGGCATTATGAATTCTAAGAGATAGATATAGTTCTTAGGATTTCCCTCCAAATGTTTTCCTTTTTTCTCTTGACCACCCATAAATTCCAAGAACAGTATGCTGTTTAACACCACTTTAGGAAATAATGCTCTAAGGGGGAAAACAAAGGCCCAAGAAGAGAGTGGTTGGGGAAAAAGCAAAAAAAAATTAAAATAGCAAAGAATACAGTAAAGAAAGAGAATCTGAAGAGAACAATATTACAGAAGCAAGGAAAAAGATAATTTCCAAAAAGCTAGAGACAAAAGGACCAAACAAAATATTAAATAAACTGAGAATCATAATGTTCTTTGGATTTGACAAGGCTTACTGCCACTTGTGACTTTTCACATAAAAGCTTCAGAAAAGAGGAAAAAAGAAGTGACAGACAGAATTTTAAAAGATTAGGATGGGGATAAAAAAAAAAAAGAAATACACAAAGCATTAATAGGCCACCAATAACTTGAGTAAGCAGTGAAAGTTAAAAAAGAAAGTAATTGTTAGAGAAAAGGGAGTATGTATAGAAATTTTAAAATTTAAAACTGAGGACAGTTGCACCTGATTCAAAGTAAAACTAAAAACCTACTCAAAGAGGTGGCAACAGTCCAAAAGATACAAGAAATGGAATCCAGAGTGTRTACTAGAAAAAAATGAATATATAAGAATTTAAATAATGCTTAACCTTTCCAAGTCTGAAGACTTCATTTAATGAGGTCCAAAACTGCACAGTTTTCTGCCTACGCTACCCAAGAGACTTTTTCAGTCTTTAGAGTTTGATGTGTAGTAAGTGCATAAATTTGCTGGTCCTTTGTCCTTTTCAGAGGATATCTTATGTAATGGTGAAGGGGGGGAGTCACAGGGAAACACTTACCTGAGGGCCTCAATCTTATGAAATAAGGAAGAAGGTAGAGACCAATCACAATAGGAAAGTTGGRAATTCATGCAGATTTTTATAGTGATTTATTCTAAAAGATTTTGATACACAAAGTAAAAACTTATAATGGAAACTTACATTAAAAAGTGAATATTACTAAAAAGGAGTTCAGAAAATAAGACATCTACTATMACATTCGGAAATATGGACAACTCTGCTATACCAACAGAAGTTGTGTAAATCATAAATTGTTAGTACAGCTAGTAATATACTAGAAAAAGCAAAGACAGCAGGCATGGTTAGTCCAGTTTTAAACTTTTTAAATTTAAAACTTTGTTTTTAATTCAAAGTTTGTTTTCTACATAAAACAACAATTATTACTCTTAAGCATACACAATTTCATTTTATTTCAAGAACAATGAGGACACAGACATGAGATTCTGCTGCTTAAGACTTATTTTTAGATTCTACCTACCATTTTGGCTAATTTCATTAACAATTCAAATTGAGTAGATAATTGCGGATTAACCAAGTCCAAGTCACAAGTGTGGCTCACATATGGCTCCAGGACCCATTTATCACAAAATTTTGATCACAAAAAGGCAGTAATATCTGATTCCTTAGTTGATACATCATCCTATAGAGAATTAAGAAGTCATGTTGCTTTAAAAAATTGTGTGTGTATGTGTGTCTCGCCAAAAAGAGTTAGAGGAGACCCCATTTTTCAAATAAAGAAATTAACATTGATCCGTGTGCACAGAATAAGGATGCGACAACAATACCCACACCAAACCTGGCAGTCTCCAGATTTGTGTCTGTGAACGTAAGGCAGCCACACAGGCCAGATGATTACCACTGCCAGCTCAGCAGCTGAGCCTGGTGAAAAGGCGGCAACCACACACAGGCTAATTTCTGGTTCTTGAGAACCAGTACTTAAAGCCAGTCTCTGGCAGAGACTAGAGACTGTGGCATTAATAAACTGAGATACGTCTGACAGAAGCAGGGTTTGGAGGGCAAGAGGAGCTTTCAGGGCTGCAATTCTAGAAGTGATAAGGCTAATCCTAGAAGTGATAAGTTCCTGTGGGCTAAAACCCCCACAGGAACTGAAAGAAAACGATGGGGTTTGAGGGGAAAGAGCTCGTCCTTACCTTGTCATCTTCACATCTCTTCCCCAGGCCCTCCCTGGCCTGCAGCCGGCTACTGAGGCGGCCGTAGTCGGCCTCCTTCTGGTCGATCTGTTTCTTGTGCGTGTCCACCAAGAGCAAGAGGTCCGAATTGCGCTTCTCTAGACGCCCGCGGGCCACCTCAGTGCGCTGGACCTGACCCTGCAGCTCGGCCACCTCCTCCTGAAGCAGGACGTGGCGGGAGGAGATGCTCCAGTAGTTGAAGGCAAGGACAACGATCACCACTAGCAGCACCACTAGCACAAGAGAGGGCAGGCGGCCAGCCCGCCGGTTGGCTCCAAAACCCACCATGAGGCCGAACCGGGCTGTGCCCTGGGGCCTCGACACCGGCACCTGCGAGTAGAAGCTCAGGCCTCGGCTACCGGGTTGCACAGGGAACGCGGCCCCAGGGCCGGCCAAAGCCGGAGGCGGGCCGATCCGCTCGCGGGCTAGCGGGAGAAGGGGGCGGGGCCGCAAGCTGCAGGTCCCTCCCCGCCCCCCCTCCACAAATCAGGCCAAAGCGCGTGCCGGAGGCTTTGAACTCAATCTGGCACCGGCCGCAGGAAACCAGGAGAACCCAGATGCCAGCACCCGAACCCAACACCTCAGGGCTGGAGGGGTGGGGAAAAGAGCCGGAAGGGGGCGGATGTACTCTGGCCCCGCCCACTGGCTGGGACCGGGTCGCCTAGGGGGCCATTTGCTAGTTTCCGCCGATGCCCCCTCTTCTCGCGAGATAGTGGGATTCCTCTCGCCCCTCCTTGCAATCTTATCTCGCGAGGATTATCTCTGATAGATAATGTGAGGTGTTAAATTTGGCTCTCTGGGTGAAGTAGGGAGAGCAGTAGGTGAGCTACTGCTAGAAACAGGTGACTAGAAAGATTTTGTTTCAAAAGAAGGTTGTACTTGTTTCAGAGGAAATTTTCTCCTTTGTGCTAACGATGAGGAAAGAAAAGAACAACAAAAAAGTCATAAAATATGACGTCCCAGACAATACTGGGAAAAGCAGAAGAAAATAAACTTCAGGTGGTGCCARCCTGGTTTCCTTCATGATCCGAAAGAATGTTTCAGGGTAGTCAGATCCTGGTTTTAAACGCACTGCTGCTTTTGGCTCAATTGGACTTCCAAATACAAAGTCCAATAGCTGCTCTCAATGAATAGTAAGTAATGCACCCTTACTGACAGGGAACACGTTCTGGGTTAGAAATAATAGCTCTCTTACAAGATGTTTCTGCACGCCTTGTCTCATCCTCTCAACAACATAGTTTTACACTCAGAAATACAATAAACAAAGACGTTCAAAAACTTTCTCAAAGTCTTATATCTTGTTTGAAACAGAATTAGGCTTGAATCCATATCACTAGTCTTTGCATTATATCAGGCTAGCTGTTGCTATTATGTGCAGTGTTAATTTCTCTGGTGCAGAGAAAGCCCTGCCTCTTCTTTTTTTTCTCTGCAWATTTCCTTTCTATGTGTATAAAGAAAAAAATAAGTTACAGGCTCTCACTTGTTTGAAAAAGAGATGGAGTTGCTTTATCAATAACCGCCATGGGGCCTGGGTTTGTGGCTCAGTGGTTAGAAGCTTGTTAGCACGTATGAGGCACTGGGTTCGATCCCCAGGACCACATAAAAAAAAATAAACAAAATAAAGGTATTGTGTCCATCAACAACTAAAACTATTTTTTTAAAAAAATAACTGCCACCAACATAAAACCTCAAGAACACAAAAACTGGTATTTTCATTCAAATCAAGTGGCACGATTCCGAGACAGAAAGATTTTTCATCTTTGAATAATTATTCTATGCTTCCGGTCCATTGCTAAAATAAAGTTACTCGTCTTTCAGCTTACAAAAAAATTATTCAACTTTCAAAGAGGGATGTTTTCTCTCTCACAGATACTGCAGATAAAAAAAGTATCATCAAAATTATTAATAGTTAATTCACATGAAGTTGAGCTCTTTGCTGTGGCTTCATAATATCTAGGGAATCCCCTCTATTATGAGAAAGCAAGCAGACTGGCAAAAAGAAGCAAACAAAAATGGGAACTCAAAAAACCCTCTTAACTCACATTGACCTTGTGCGATGGCAAAAAGTRCAACTTATGCAGTTGAAGGGGAGAAATAAAGAATGTCCACGAGTTTCTGTCTTTGTCAATGCTTTATTCACTCATATCACTGAATACAATTTCACTCTATAGGTTCTTTTTTTTATGACAGCAGAATGCATTATAATTTTTATTACACATATAGAGCACAATTTTTCATATCTCTGGKTATATACATAGTACATTCACACCAATTCATGTCTTCATACCTGTACTTTGGATAATAATGATCATGACATTCCACCATCATTAATAACCTCATGCCCACTCCCTTCCCCTCCAACCCCTCTGCCCTATCTAGAGTTTATTTATTCCTCCCATGCTCTTGCTCCCTACCCAACTATGAATTAGCCTCCTTATATCAAAGAAAACATTCGGCATTTGGTTTTTTGGGACTGGCTAACTTCACTTAGCATTATCTTCTCTAACTCCACCTGCAAATGCCATGATTTTATTCTCTTTTATTGCTGAGCAAATTCCATTGTGTATATATGCCACATTTTTTTATCCATTCTTCTATTGAAGGGCATCTAGGTTGGTTTCACAGTTTAGCTACTCTATAGGTAGCTAAATTTTCTTAATCAAGAAAATGACAATCGTTAATGCTAGGCACTGAAATAGACATAATCAATTCACAGCAAACAATTCTAGATTAATCATTTCACAGCAAACAATTCTAGATTAATTTTAAATACTGCAAACACACTTAATCATGACAGGCTCATGACAGACATTCCCTCTGCATGCTAAGTTCAAGTTTCAGATCAAAAGTCTCAAGCCTAAGGCATCCAGCAGATACACCTTCACATGATGATCAGATCAGAAACCAAGGCAGGCTTCTCCTGGGGTGGCACTGATGGCTAGTAGAGGAGAGGGTTGTAGGGAGAAGTTGTGGCTCTCACCAGGGTCAAGATGTGGCTGTAGAGTTTGAGAGTACTGAGGAAAATGCAGAGGATCAGACAAAAGATGAGAAGAGATAGGATGTCATTCCAGGTCCTCTTCAGGTTCTCCATTGTGAGGGTATCAGTGTCGTCTGGCTGAATGTATGTTCATTTGCTCCATCATTTATAATAAATTTTGGGGCTTTTGACCACCCTTTCAATTCCCAGCAGCTGCCTCCCGATCTCTCAGTGATGTCATTTACACTGGGGTTAAAGCATCTGGTCTGGTGGTCCTCACCCTGATTTTTTCGCCTTTCTTCCTTATGGGACGAGGACAACATGCCAGAGACTTCACTCTGAGTTTGTCAGGGTGGGGAGAAGTGACTTGTTTGTGCCTAAGGGCCATACTGGAGGGCTCCATTAGGCGTGTGTGGTGAGACTGCAGGTTTCAAATTGGAGTTTTAAAATGGAGTTGCTTAGGCTCAGGCCTAAGGCCATCCTTACACTCTCTGCTCATCCAAGAGTTGAAAATTAACCCACTAGATAATGTTAATTTTTAACATTAAAATGTAAACTCTTTCCAAGATTTTTTTTTAAATATGGGATTCTGACAGTTCTAAAAGTATAATATTTTACAAAACATATGTACAAACATTTCTCAACAGGTATTTAAAAGCACTATTTGTTATTATTATTTAATTTACAGATGCAGAAATAACTTGTCCAAAGTTATATGTCTAAAAAATGTCAAGGCCATAGTTTAAAAGCCAACCCTTTTTTCACTTCCTGAGGGATTTTTTTTTTTTTTTTTTTTTTTTTTTGGTAGGTATTAGGGATTGAACTCAAGGGTACTTTACCATTGAACTACATTCCCAACCCTTTTAATTTTTTTTTTTTTTTTTTTTTTTTTTTGAGGCAAGGTTTCCCTAAGTTGCCTAGGCCTCAAGCTAGCGCTCATCCTGATTCAGCTTCCTGAATACCTGGCATGCCAGCATGCACCACCCTGGGCCCAGCATTTTTTTTTTTTTTTTCCTGTTTTGATAGTTCCCTCACCAACCTTTTTTCCCCCTAGTAATGAGTTCAATCCAAATCACCAAGACAGTACATAAGAGCTTTCATATAGTTAGATCTAGATTAGGTATTAAATAAATTAAGGTAAAAGTTAATTCCTTAGGCCAGGTGATCAAAGTTAAAATTAACAATGATAGGGGCTGGGGATGTGRCTCAAGCGGTAGTGTGCTCGCCTGGCGTGCGCGGCCCGGTTCGATCCTCAGCACCACATACCAACAAAGATGTTGGGTCTGCTGAAAACTAAAAATAAATATTAAAATTCTCTCTCTCTCTCTTTAAAAAAAAATTAACAATGATATAATCACATTTGATAGTATAACCTTGATATGACATGATGATGGYAACACTCTGTGGTCTTCCTCTCAAAAACCTCATAAACTCAGTCTGATCATGAGAAAATCATCAAATTCAAATTGAGGGATATTCTGACCAATACTCCTTAAATTGTTGAGGTTGGGGGTATAGCTCAGTGTTAGAGCATTTGTTTAGCATGCATAAGGCCCTGAGTTTAATTCCCCACACCACAAAACAAACCAAAAAACAAAAACTGTCAAGGTCATCAAAAACAATGAAAATCTGAAAAACTGCTACAAACCAAAAGGAACCTAAGGAGACATGATGACTAAATGCAACATGGTATTCTGGGTGAGATCCTGGAACAGAAAAAGGACATTAGATAAAAACTAAACTAGTCTGAATAAAATATGTACTTTAATATATCAGTATTAGTTCATTGTCACAAATGTACCATAGTAACATAGGAAGTTAATAATGAAGGAAATTGCAGGTGAGGTATATAGGAATATTGTGTGCCATTTTCAAAATTTTTCTTTAGGTCAATAATTATCCTAAAATTTTAAACAATTTTAAATTATTTTTAATTCTTATCTTTTAGGATACCAAGTATAGATGTTAATATAATTAATTGGAATGGCAGTATAATCATAGATAAAGTTTTAAGATTTAATTGGAGGAAAAGAATCTATTATAGAGTAGCAAGTGAGGTTGAAATGTGGAAATCTTGTATTTGAGTGGAGTCTTTTTTAAAAAATATTTTTTAGTTGTTGTTGGACATAATACTTTTATTTTATTTTTTAAATGTGATGCTGAGGATTGAACCCTGCGTCTCTCACATGCTAGGTGAGCAATCTACTGCTGAGCCATAACCCCAGCCCCKTTGAGTGGACTCTTTTTTAAAGGTAAAAATCATGTCATTTGTTTCTTTTCTTTTCTGATCCTTTCTCCCACCAGAAACACTATTTGACATATATTACCTCTAATATATTTGACTTGATATCATGGAGTTGAGCAGAGGAGTAGATTACTTTCTAGATTATTTCTCAATATTTAGGTCTAGGTTAGAGAAGGTGGCAGTTCACAGAAATACCCAATACACAGATGTATTATTCAAGGTTCTTTCCAGTATAAATGAAAATACCCTAAACCTACACTAGATTAAGAAAAATATATACGTATTTAGAAGGATAGTAGGAGAATTCACAATACTATGGAAGAACATCAGGAACCAGGGACCTACAAGAAATTTGATGCTTCC